CAGGCCCTGACTGGAACCTTTCCGGCCCAGCCCCCAGCAGGAGGCGCAGAAAATCTTCAAAGCCACCCACCCCATGGACGCTGAAGTCACGAAGGCCAAGGTGAGGGACGGGGAGATCCAGCGGGAGCCCCAGGCCGACGTCCCAGCCGCCTCTCCCCAACTCGGGGGTTTGGGGACCGGAGGCCGGTCGCTCCGAGCCTCAGTTTCCCCGTCTGTAACATGCGGCCAGCGCCCACTCCCGCTGGTTTGGGGAACTGTGCGCCTCTCTGGGAGCTGACGGCGGCCGCCCTCCCTCCCCAGCTCCTGGGGTTTGGCTCCGCTCTCCTGGACAACGTGGACCCCAACCCCGAGAACTTCGTGGGGGCCGGGATCATCCAGACGAAAGCCCTGCAGGTGGGCTGTCTGCTCCGGCTGGAGCCCAACGCCCAGGCTCAGGTGAGCGGTGGTTGGGAGGCCCACCTGCAGCAGGTCCCCCCCCCCGCCCCCCCAATCCTCTGGCTCATCTTCCACTCCCCTTCCCTCCCTCCCTGGTTTGTGTCTCTATATCCTTTCCACCTTTCCTGGCCTCTCTTTATTTTTCATTCTTTGCCTGTTCCCATCCTTTTTATTTCCACTTCCTGTCCCTTCTATCACCTTCCTGACCCCTTTCTCCTTTTTCTCTCTTCTCTCTCCCCTGTCTCCCCCCACCCCTGGGCTCCCCGTCCTCTCACCTGCCTGCCCTATCCCTCTGCCTCCTCCCTGAGCCCCCCCTGCTCCCCCAGATGTACCGGCTGACCCTGCGCACCAGCAAGGAGCCTGTCTCCCGTCACCTGTGTGAGCTGCTGGCCCAGCAGTTCTGAGCCCCGACCCTGCCCCCGGAAGTGTGGCCGGCGCCAGGAAGCCCCTGGGACTGAGGGAGCTTTGGTGGACGGAGCAGTGAGGGGACCTCCGCTGGTGACAGGGAAGACCCCAGGGTAGGGGGGTGCCTGGGACTTTCCTCCGGCCTTTTGTATTTTTATTTTTGTTCATCTGCTGCTGTTTACATTCTGGGGGGTTGGGGGAGCCCCCTCCCTCCATTCCCCCCCCAAGCACAGAGGGGAGAGGGGCCAGGGAAGCAGGCGCCTCCTCCCCTCCCCCCCACCCTGTTGTGGCCCCTCCTGCCCCGTCCCCGTCCAGGGGCTGTGTATTATTGTGACCCAATAAACAGAGACGCTAACAGCCCGGTTCCTGTCTGCCGCTCACGCCCAGCGGTCAGAAGAGTGGGGTGAGGGCCTGCAGGGTGCGGGCGGCCAGGCTCCGCAGCCCATGGCAGGGGCTCTGAGCCGACAGCAGCAGCAGCAGCCGCCGGGGCCCCAACTGTAGGGCCACCAGACGCCATCCTGTGCCTGGCTCCTCGGTCCCCGAGACCAGGTAGCAGGCTCTGGGCACCTGAGCCCGCTGGGCTGTGTCCTCCACCTTCTCCTCCTGCTGTCCGGGCTCTGGGGAAAGGACAGGACGGACTGAGTGAGCAGAGGGGATGGACCGCGGGCTGCCAACCTGCGGGAGCCGTACCCGATCCTGGGCCTGAGTCTGACTCCCGACAGGCGAGGGCCTCACCTCTCCACCCGGTTGTCAGTGACCTGTAGGCTGCAGGCTCTCACCCAGCATCGGTCCCCCTCTTTCCTGGGGATACTATGTGCAGCCCAACAATTCACTCAGAAACACATGGCAAACACACAGGTGATATTTACCAAGTGTCAGGCACTCAGCTCCAGGTAGTGTGGGGGGGGACCCCACCCCGCTGTGGGGAGCTGGTGGGGAGCTGGAGTTAACAGCTAGGAGGGAGCAGTCCTGGCCTCTCCCAGGCGCTGCTGGTGACCATTTTGCTACATTGATTAGGCTCTTCACTCTGGGCAGTGTCACCCTAGGCCCCTTCCTTTGTCTCTCTAGGGCTCTTGGGTTCTAGGACTTTTCCTAACTAGCCTGGGCTCTGTGGTACCCCCTCCCCCGACTATGGGGAAAGCCTGTACTTAAAGCTGTAGAGCGGAGTGTGACTACTAAGCAGCCGGGCCTCAGTTTCCTCATCTGTAATATGGGAGTGATTATACAGCAGCAGGAACCCTCACCTCTGAGGATGACGGGAGTCACTGCATATAAAGCATCTGGCAACAGATGAACTATTAACATCACCCAGGAGAGTGTCACCTCCAGGCTGGGGCCTCCCTGCCCCTCCTTCCACCCGTGGATGCCCAGGCCTTACCCATGCCCAATACTGAGGCCTACCAGTTCCCCCAGCCCCTCCACTCCCTCCTGTGTGACCTGGGACTCAGTGTCCCAGTCTGTGCAAAGGGGGCGCTGGGCCCACCGCTGACCTGGTGGAAAGTGCATGGTGGTGACGAGGGTGTAGAAGGAACGGAGGAGGCACCGACGCTGCTCAGGGGAAGGATCTGGAAGGAGAAGAACAGGTGACGTGCCTTTCAGGGCCCAGGGCCCTCCCAGCCGCCTTCCCCCCCCACCTAAGTCACCTTTATCCCCTGAAGGCTCCACGGTGAAGAGGCAGCGCTTCAGTTCCAAATGGAGGAGCAGCAGCCTGTGGGGAAGGGCGTGTCATGACCAGGGAGGAAGGAATGAGCACCCCAACCCCCCCTCCCCTCCCTCCCAGCCCTACCCGAGGATGTCGGTGTGCAGGGGGAAGCCAGCGGGCAGAGCTCGGGGTCCCAGCGGCAGGCAGGCCCCGAGTCCAGC